TTGCATAGCTTCAAGCCTAAACCCAGAGTTGATGTGGTGGGGCATTCGAATTTCGGCCCCTCTATCCGTTTTTTTCTTCATCGATTATTCATTGCGTAACCATAACTGTCTGTGCTTTTTTGCACCATTCGCATAAGATTTTAACTTGGCTACCGAGGGGACTATTGGGCGATTAAAGTATTGAAAAATATGATCAAATACCCCCGGGATTTCATGCATTTAGTCTAATGGACCAAATATATAGCTACATCCTTTATTGGGAGAACCATAAGGAATAAAACCAAAAGGCTGATCAGGGAGCTTTCGAATAGCGCGAGGAAGCATTGATCCGGTTGGGACGTTGTTCTTTGGAAAAAGCATCTTCCGCTTGTGTGTCCCCATTAATCTCAGTTGTAACGTCCGATCACTCGTGGGAAATTTGGCCGATCTCAGAAGCTTAGTCAAACTACGTTATATGCCCAACTAGGCGTAATCACGCTCCAAGAAAGTTCTCTCCAAAATGAAATTGACCATGGGTTCATATACCTGTATGGTTTAGCTAACTATCGAGTCGATCGTCCTGTTCCTTATTCCAGTAGGGGTGGTGGTGTCATCACGTTTCTCAAAAATCAATGGTTTCATCTCACCAAAAATATGGTCTCCTACTGCACACGTTATATAAACCCATCAGTACCTCAAGTTAAGCCCAGATACTTCAGCTTTTCTCGGTCATTCATTCTTGTATATATATATAAAGCCCCCTCTTGCTAATCCAATGTTCTTAATGACTTTTATCATTCTCTTTCAACTACATCGATGGAATATGTGAATACTTCAGACTGTATCATTTGGGGTAACTTTAATAATTCCGATACCGCTACCTAACCACACTACATCTTCAAAACATCGTTACCTTTCCCACTAGGTTCGATGCATATCTGGATTTGGGTTTTATCAACCTTCCCAATTTACTTATTGTAGAACACTGGTTCCCACTGGGAATATGTGATCGTTCTATGTTATAGTTTTCCCCTACCATCTTTAGCAGAACGAACCATCATCTCATTACTCGAAGTCGTGATCACAAGCTTCAAGTAAGACAGCGTTTTCCAGGAAACATGAAGAGGTTAAGGGAAACGATCAAACACTCCGACCTTACTCTGTTTTCTGATCCCAACCCTTCCGTTTTCTGTGATCAATTAACCAGTTACTTTGCCACGATGTTTGTTGTGCCTCAGAGGCAATTTATATCCGCCCCTACCAATTCTCGTCTTCACACCTAAGACAACTCCGTCGCATGAAGGAGCGTGTCTACGAAATGCATAAGCGCAACGAGGTGAGCTCTCTTTCTAAATCCATTCGGGCTAAACTTTGAATGCTCAACTCTTTGTATGTCGGGCTCGGCTTGATAACAAAGGTTGTCGTGACCCCTGGCCAGCTCTAATGCGAATTTCTGGCAACAAATCCTCACACCGCGCGCTGCTGTGGTGGACACAGATGGTCTGAATCAGACTTTCATCAACAGTGGAACCGATCTCACTGCTCTACCTAATGGATGTTGAAATCAACATGACTGATCCCGTCGCCAGCGTTGTACCAGTGGATATTTATCAGGAGTTGGCTCGTTACAAGTCCTGCTGCCCCGATGAAGTCTCATCCGTTGTCCTGAAAGAATATGCTGCCTTCCTTTCCCTCTTATTGAGTGAACTTTTCAATGTTCGTATTTCGCAGCAATGTATACCCGACTTCTGGAGAAAAGCCTCTATCACCCCGGTATTGAAAAAAGGGTCCTCAAAATTCTGTCTCATTGCGTGCACCTCAGTTGTTTTGAAGATGTTTGAGAGTCACCTCATTAGATCCCTGTCCACATAGTTTAATGTTGGTGACCCGAAACAGGCTTGCATACACCCATTCACGCGGGACCCTGAAGGCCGTGGGTTATCTGCCCCCTTTTTGTTTTATCCAACCTGGATAAGAAAAGCAAGGCGAACGCATATGTTTTCTCGGCTACAGTGATGCTACACAATAATCGACAAATGTTGCTAAATACCCCTTCTACGACTAAACTATTGCCCAACTATTTATCCAACCGTCAGCATTTCACATGCTACAAAGGTTGCACATCTTCATTGCTTCCCTCCACACAATGCGTACTACAAGGCGCTGTTTTTCTCTTTTTCCGTTTTATACTTACAATTCCTCTATGCCTGTGGGCAGCCGGTGGCTGCCCTTTGATTGGACGCTTCCCCCTTCTTGAAAATGGTATCTTTGTCTATGCAATAAAAGGAAGTAAAGTGAAAAAGAAAAAGATAAAAGATAGTTCTGCTCTTCCTGTTATGTATACAGACGATGCAATATTTGGATAGCCCTTCCCCAAACCATCATTTTTAGCTAGCCCGCAAGCAAACATGTCAGATATAGTTGGGTGGTCTCAAAAAAGGAACCTCCGCATGAACCCCCAGTAGCGCAATGATGTGATTTTTTCCTTTTCGAAAGGGAATCGTTTTATGAAGTATCTAAACTCAGCGGCCAGATGGAATGACAACCGTCTGTCAACTACCTTGGCGTTATTTTCAATTGTAATCTCACCTGGTCTGACCATGGTAATGACGTTTTGCTGAAGGTCAGGAGGCTAACGTTTTATGTTGTATATCTTAAATCACTTTTATCCCAACAGATCTCATAAGGCATTTTGTTTTTGCTTTCGTTTTGGTCCACTGGCATTATGGATCACCAGTTATCTGCGCTCGTCTTTTTAATAAGGACGTTGAACTCATTTCCCGATCCCTCAAGTTTAAGTCGGTTTGTAGTCTCATAAAACGAGATGATCTTTTACGGTATGCGATGACACACAAACTCAAGTCCTGCAAAATATTCCCCAGTAAAGTTTTATCTGATATTTTCCATCGTCTTTATTCTGCCCTTAATCGGTGCCTTTCTAACTCATCCACCCGTTCCACTCACAAACTTATAAAGACTCGTACTGAAGGTTACAGGTACTCTATTGTCCCGTATCTCGCCAGATTTCCAACAAAACATGAACTCGTTGCAGGAAATCTGCGCAAAACGCTAAACTAAATCAATCATAAATACCCGGGTATGCCAGTTGTTTTTTATGTTGCTGTCTGTTTTAATTTTTATTTTAAATTGTTGTATTGGAATGTTTTTTTCATTTTTTTTGACACTGTGGTTATGTCGTTGCTGAATATTTACATTCCGAGGTGTGCAAAGCAATTCCTTGACTTGACTTGACTTCAATGTACAGGTAGCACTTTTAGAATGTTAATCACTGACTGAAATCTCACAGGAACCAACAAAAGGTAATGAATGTCCAGTGATGCCATTTATGGTGACAGTGGACGGCTGTAGTTTAGCATCTGGAGCAAAAGGTTTTAAATAATGAACAGAAATTAAAGACTCCACACTAGCAGTGTTCAAAATGAAATAAAGTGATTTACCAGTGGAACTGAATAGTTGTTTACGAATGCGACCGGAATGGCAAGTAATTGCCAACGATAAAGAAGAAAAATGTTTGACTATGTCACTCACGTCATTAATTAAACGACAATTTTCGGTACTGCGAAATAGACTGATTATTACCAGTTTTGTCACACTTGTGACATGAAGCTTAAGGAAATTTACTTGCGAATGTGAAATGACGTTTGCCGCCGAATACATCATTACCATAGGACTTAGCCGAATATGTCACTTTGTGTGAGCGAGATTGTGTAACTGGTTTGAAACGTCCGGCTGTAGAATGAATGCACGTGATTTTGGTTTTGAGTGAATTGAACATAACTGTAGATTCCATGGTCGATGGCACGGATGAATTAGCGACTCGAATATCCTGATGTTGTCCACAATAGGCCCGCATATCTTTGATCGTAGTATTGGATAGCTTCAGAAGTTCATTTTACCAAATAGTATTATTAATGCCATCAATTAATCGATCTCTCAACTGCATCTCTATTGTAAGTCTCCAAAATCACACTGCAGCTTGTGTGAGTAATTCCATATTGAATTCACGGATGCCCTGGTTCGGATTACCGTTGAATGCAATTTTCTCTTTATGAGGCTTCAAAGGTCGTCGACTTCACATGCTGTATAAGAAGGGATTTCAAATCCTCGTACGTTACAGAAACAGGCGGGGAAGGATAAACCAAGATTTGGTTAAAGTATGCTCTGCATATTCAATGCATTTAAAGTATTCAAAGAGTTTATCGAGGTCAGTGTCATACATCACAAGATGCATTTTATTATTTGGCATCAAAATGCGAAAGTTTCAACATCAGCATTTACTGGAGGAAGATTGCTTTGTTTCGGCTCTGTGATGGTGAAAGCTTCTGAAATCGGTCTGTTCCCTAGGACTTTCGATATCTTTACTGTAGATATCGCATGAAAACAGTATTCTCTTACTCTAGGACATCAGTTTATTCCTTAGTTTTATTTCCTTTTTAAGGATCAAATTTTCATTTGTTTTTCTCACGTATTACAGTAGTTACTCTGATTTAAGTGCTTGTTAATGTTCATCTGACCTATTTCACTCAGTTCCCCTTGGTTACCATCTCCGGTGGAATCCGGACTGGCCGGGACTAATAATCTGTACCCCGCGATCACTACGCTCAGTGATCTTTTCAAATCCTCCGAACCCACGTTCACCGGTCTACCGAATTCCGCTTCGAACATGATATCACGAGGACAATCGTATTTACACTCTCTGAATGGCACATTACTCTCAAACATGCATAATTCCAGTCTTGATCTACTATCCACTATATCCGGATTGGACCAAACATTTGCAAATACAACACAAAATACACACTCAAACCCTGCAAACCCTCTAGATGAATCACCAAGTTTTCTTTATGGTTCCCTTGGATTGAATGTATCCAATATGAACGCTATGCTCCCTAATTCGGTATCCGG